ATTGATAACGATGTGAGATGTATAGATGCACTGCAGACTTTTTGGTTGTATATATACATCAGTCGAATTGGAGTAATGTTTACACATCCTTCCTTGATTAATTGTTATGCGTAAAAACTCCTTAACAATGAATCACAGAATGTCTTTCATAATCAAGCACAGTCACATTTTTACTCCTGAATCAGCAGCTACTCTTTAGAGCTGATGCTGCACAAACTGAATGAGTTTAGATGTTTTTTCAACAATCTCTAGCGTTCTTTTCTCTTGATTTTACGATATACGTATGTGTTGCATTTGTAAATGATCATGCTCATCCAAAGAACAACGTTTAGCTACCAAAGTCAACCAATTCCAATAAACCCAAGTGATCCAATTTAAACCCAAGTGATCCAATTGCAAGTTCTATAAAGAACAAGAAACACTTTTTCTCGAGGCCATCTTTAGCAGCAACAGAAATATTTGTCGCAAATGCACTGGAGTACTAAGCGAATCGTCTGAAGAATTATTTACTGCGATCACGCTGATGGGAGGATAAAATGACCTTTGTTATGTCGAACCGTTCACCAGCAACGTTTGATCTGAAGGTGGCAAACCATTTCGACATCGTAGGACCTCACTGGTTTGTGTATAAGACTTGCTTAATTATGTATAATCATCAGAATAACAACATGAATGAAACAGCAACCGCTTTTAACAGCTTTCTTGAACATCTTGTCCATAACAGAACAATGCATTAAGCAACTGGATTCTGACCAAACGAGCAGGATTACACATTTAAAGAAGCTGATATTTTCTTGAGCACCTCAACTTAGAGCATGCGATTAAAACTTCACATCAGTTTAAGCCTAAAGACAATATCAGCGCTCTTAAAAATGCTCCCAGACAACTAAGAACAGGGGCGCAGAGAATACGCAGTGAAATCTAGTCTTGGAGGAGGCATGCTTTATCTGTTCACTCTTAAAAAATATGATAACGGATTACACAAGCAGCATAATTTTTAACTTTGAAAATGACTTTTAGTACGGGAAAGAATCACAGGTTTAATACATACCTGCTCAATGCTTGAGGAAGACTCGATATCAACGGTCCGTACCCCTGCGAATTGTCGTAAAGTTCGAAGAGAGGTGCGGCAACGAGCTTATAATTTTTTGGAACTGCAAATAGTGCTAAAAAGCCAAAGCTACAGATTCGTCAACCGAAGAACTGTTCTCAAATAGTACCTTTTTCATGAAGCTGGACAAGAAACAGTCGAGTATGCTCTTTAGGCTTCGTCACGTGGGCCGGAATGTAAGGGTACTGAAAAAGATGAAAATTAATCTATATATGACCTGACTGTTCGATTCTGGGCAAATTGTTGAAACGGAAACAAATTCTTTGTTTCACTGTAGGTGCAGTAAACAACTGATAATAACGCTGCCAACGTTTCGGCATTCACATCGCAGCATTGTCAGGGCACCTACGACTGCTTTGATGATTTAAAGTGCGTGTCGAAACGCATGGGCACTAAGTGCTAACACTATGTTTGATACCATCAATCATGAATCAATTAGCTAAAAATAATTTAAGAAATTCATATAACCTAATGCAATAACAGAATTAAATCTTTTCCTATGCTGTTTGCTCTCAGAATTAAGATGACGACTAGTGGGCATCTTAAAAAACGCCTTATGAATTGTATAAGAGGGTAAAAAATAGCATATTTGTGTCGTTTTGACGACTCAGACATAAAAAAGTATAGAGACAATATTGCCTAAGTTAGGTGTTTGTCTTCATCATGCGTCGGAACGGAAGATTGCACTTGACACTGACATAAAATGCAGATTAAATAAAGGAATTTTTAGGGGGAAGAAAGACCGTTCTTGTGAACGTTTCGTATAAATTGTTAAATGAAAAGGCTTAAAGTAGTGGCAAAAATTTTAATCGCAAGGCAGTCACTCATGATACAGAGTAAACTGTCACTACATCATAAGTACTGCTTCAAACAAGTGACAAAGCATGTCCTGAAGTTCATCACGGAGAACTCTAGAGAACAAAAATATCCTATTTCAATTCCTAGTCAATATGAACGATAAGTGCAGACCCACTCATGAAAGAAGAAATTCACATCGCCTTATTATATTCGGAAATCAAAAAGGCATGTTCTATGAATCGAAAGAAAATGAGCAGAAAAACTACATACTCCTTTATCAAACATAAGGTTCACAAAGTCATCGGGAAGGATAGAAGGTGTTGAGTCCTTGCGCCTACAGTTAAAGAGGATTGCAATTTGCTTCTGGAAGTTAGACGGTATCCGTCATTGCAAACACCGGTGAAACAATTACACTTAATATTCTTGGAAAGGAACTGGGGAGTCAATGAGGCCTCGTCAAAAGAAGTGATTTTGTAGAATCACAGAGCAATGAGATGCTTTGTAACGCCGCTTGCAACGACCTGAAATTCGAATTGTTTCAGAACAACGTCAAGGGTTGTGAAAACTTATGAACTGCCATGTTCATCTTCTTCTTCATCTTCATTTTCCATGACAGCTTCTCTCGCAAAGGGAGACGAGTCAGACAGTTCTTCCAACGTTTCCGATCATGTGCCAAAGTCTGACCTTCGGCAGAAGACAACTGGAGTCTGGAAAAGACTCGTCCCATATATCTACACCAGTTTAATCGTGGCCGTCCCCTGGGCGTTCTGCCGGTCGGGTCCGCAAAAAACAGTTGCTTAGCCTTCCTTTCTGGAGACATTCGCAATACATGCTCAAACCGTCCCCTTCTCAAACTGGACAAGCAGAGAGAGTACACCAAGGCTCTACCGGATGTCAGTATCCCGACCATGTCGAGACGCGTAAGGCCAGCGACTCGTCCAAGAAAGCCCATTTCAGCAGCTTGTACCCGGCTTCGAAGTCTTTCAGTCATGGTTCACGACTCATGACCGTAGGTAAGCATGGGGATAAAAATCGACTTGAACACCGAGAGCTTAGTTTTTAGACTGAACTTTGCTTTAGTCACAATGAATCCAGCTACTTCATGTAGAACGCCACTGGCAACCCCAATTCGCCGGTCGATCTCTTCCTCAAATTTTCCACCACTAGAAAATACGACTCCGACGAACTTGAACTTTCTCCCCTGCTCCACAGCCTCTCCGTCAATCTGAAGACAGCAACGGACAGGAGAACGAGAAAGAATCAGACTTTCGTTTTAGATGCGTACACACGCATGCTGGAAACGTCTCACTCGGCGGCGAACATTTCCAGGGAGCACTGTAGATCAATTTCAGAAGATGCCAATAAAACAAGTACGTCTGCAAACAGCAGCCTTCTAGTCTTCAAATCTCCTACGCCGATACACTCCTCGCCTTGGCTGCTCCTGACTATTCTATCCATGTACAAGATAGACAAGGAACGCGACAGACCATTGCCTTGGAGGGGCCCAGGTCAACGTTAAAAGGTTTAGACATAACGCCATCTACTCTGGCGCAGCACTTGCTATCAGAATACAGCGATTCGATAGCCCTTAGTAGCTGGCCATCTATTCCGTATGCTCGCAGGCAT